TCCTGCAAGGACCTGGCCAAACTATGGAATGCAGCAGGACAGGGGCTCTGGAAAGGAAAACGCTGAAATCCTTAGAGAGAAGCAAAAAGCATTGTCCAAAGCCACCAATCCTCAAACCATTTCAGAGCCAGAAACAGGACAAAAACCTACACCCAGATTCTGGACAGGCAACACCAGAACACATTCTATTATTGCATCTCTTCAGCAGCACAGAGTTTTTATTCCTATTCTTATTGACCTTTCTTTTGTGGTGAAATCCTTGGCTTTTTTTGCACTATATTTTCCACTATAAAATTCCACTGGAGACTCTTCCCAGCCCAGCAATTTCAGACTTTTCTGAAGGTCTGTTTTGCCCATCATTTAATATAAAATTACAGGACTATAAACACTGGGGGCTTTACAACTCTCCTAAAATCTACTTCACCTCTGTGCTGCTAAGGGCAGGCCTTGCAGGAGGACAGCATTTATCCAGGAACTGTGAAATACATGGAAATTCTCACTAAACCTGGCACCACCTGCTTTAGAACACTGGCAGAGACATCCCTAGGTGCACCTTGTCAAAGTGAAAGGTGTAATAAAGGTATGAACAAGGGTGGCCAAGGAGAATTCCCATCCAGGAACAGCAACTGCCCTATTTGAAATGGAAAAACAAGAATGGAATTTAGTGAACTAAGCTCTGGATAAACTCTCTCTGTTGTCTGTAGTCACCAAACCTGAGCTCAGGTAGAGCAGGAGGAAGAAATGGCAGAGAGAAAGGCAGGGAATAAATGGAAATCTCTCTTACTAGAGAACAGGGGAATTGGGATTCTCTGGTCCAGCAAAAGGAAGAAGTCAGGACTGGTCTGCACAGAATTTCACCAGAGACAAGAGGCAGTGGGTCAGCCAGCAGGGAAGATCAAATGCAATGAAAACAAGAACTGACAAATGGCAGCTTTGAAGTTTTGTAATCACTGCAGAAGCAGAAATATGGAGAAGTTTTTGGGGGACTTATTAACAGAGCACAGTGTTGGGCTGCCAGTCGAGGTAGGGGACTTGACTTCAGCACTTCTTCCAAACCATTTGTTCTCTTCCTTGCAAACTCAGCTTTGCTGAGTTTTTTCAGCTCAGTTCTGGGGATTGTTTCCCACTGCAGTGCCTCGGAACCTCCTGGCAGCTCCTGCTCTCCACTGACACTCAGAAGATGCTGCAGCAATCAGGGACCAGCTCTAGGGCAGGAAACGCTTCAGGCCCTGGAATTTCGGTGGGATTACTGCAGTAACCCCGGCACCAAGCAGCAAAGCCCAGCTCTGTGCACACAGAGCACCAGCCTAGTGCACTCCCTGCAGCACTGTGCTCACACCTGGGCTTTTGTCTCCCTCAGTCCCTTTTTGCTGCTGCTCCCTGCTCTGTGTCCCTGTGAAGGCCAAGGAGGTGACTGAGACACAGAGCAGAACCAAAAGGATCCTGGAGCAGGGAGAGGAAACTGCAGGAGGGACTGCAATTGTGTGAGGTCACCCCACACTCCTTGGTCCCCACAGAACTCTGGGTCAGACAGAACCTGCAGCTCAGACGGGGACCAGTGATGATGAGCAAGCAGCAACCACATCATCAATCAGCAATCCCATCAATCAATCAATCAATCAATCAATCAATCAATCAGCAATCCCATCAATCAATCCCATCAATCAGCAATCCCATCAATCACCAGCAATCCCATCAATCAGCAATCCCATCAATCAGCAATCCCATCAATCAGCAATCAGCAATCCCATCAATCAATCCCATCAATCAGCAATCAGCAATCCCATCAATCAATCAGCAATCAATCCCATCAATCCATCCCATCAATCAATCCCATCAATCAATCCCATCAATCAGCAATCAATCCCATCAATCATCAATCAATCCCATCAATCAGCAATCAATCCCATCAATCAGCAATCAATCCCATCAATCATCAATCAATCCCATCAATCATATCAATCCATCCCATCAATCCCATCAATCCATCCCATCCATCCCATCAATCTTCAAATCTCCAACACTTTGGGGGTGACTCGTGTCCAAATCACCCCTTAACACAGGTCCAGAGGTGAAGTTGTGCATTTACAGGAAGAGATCACAAACCCCCCCCCGAGGGTCACAAACCCCCCCAAACCCAGGCCATGGCCCCAAAGGTGCCACAACCCTGGTCCCAGTTGCCCAGAGCAGCTCCAGGCCAGGTTGGATGGGATTTGGAGCAGCCTGGGACAGTGGAAGGTGCCCCTGCCCATGGCAGGGGGTGGCACTGGGTGACATTTAAAAGGTCCCTTCTAACCCAAGCCATTCCATGATTCTATAAAAACACTGAGGACCCTCCAAACCAGCAGGAAAAGGTCACAAAAACAAACATTTTGATGGCAATAAATTAAAAGCCAGACAAATTTAAATGGGAAATATGGCACATTTTTCTTTGCTCAGCAGAAACTTTGACCATCTTAAAAATTAAACAAGAGAAATGGGAGAGTTGTATCTTTTTTCTAACATCAGAAAGACTCCTCTGTGTCATATCCCAGTGAAGCCAGGTGAGCAAACACAGGTTATGAGACCCCTCCTGCCCTACACAAGAGGTTTATTAAACTTCTCCAGGTTTAAAATTTATGGGTCACATTGTGGGAACAATCAAATCTGCTACATAAGAATTCCAAGTCTGATGAAGCCCTGAGGAAGCACACACCCTGTAAATGCAAAACCAGAGCCAGGGAAGAGCTCCACGTGTGCAGAGCAAAGAGCAGCCCCATGCAGAGGGCCAGGATGGCTCCCAGCACATCCCAGCACATCCCAGTGCTCCCAGTGCCTGTGGAGCCTTCCCCAAACTGAGTCCCTGAGCTCAGGATGGCTCCCAGCACATCCCAGCACATCCCAGTGCTCCCAGTGCCTGTGGAGCCTGTCCCAAACTGAGTCCCTGAGCTCAGGATGGCTCCCAGCACATCCCAGTGCTCCCAGTGCCTGTGGAGCCTGTCCCAAACTGAACCCTTTGAGCTCAGGATGGCTCCCAGCACATCCCAGCACATCCCAGCACATCCCAGCACATCCCAGTGCTCCCAGTGCCTGTGGAGCCTGTCCCAAACTGAGTCCCTGAGCCCAGGATGCTCCGGGCTGTGCTGTCCCCTCTCCTGCTGGCAAACACCAGCTGGTGCCAGGCCCGGGGCTGCCATCCCAGCACAAACGGGGACATTCCCGAGCAGCTCCCTCAGGGTGAGGCTCCTGCCAGGAGACCTGGGCCACTCGTGGCTGCAGAGCAGCAGATGTGACACTCTGCAAAGCTCCTCTCCTTCCCAGGGCTGCAATGGCAGCTCCAGAGCGAGGGACAGTCCTGGCCCGTCCCTGCAGGACCCGGCTCAGGGCTGGCACAGCCAAGGATGTGCTGGGCTCCAGCCTTTGCTCTGGGCACTGAGACACAATTTGGGAGCCTCCTTCAGTGCTCCTGCAGCCTGCCCAGCAGCTCTCCAGCTATGCCACCGGCTCCACCTGCAAACAGAGCTCAGCTCTAACCTCAAGCAGGGGCTCAACGCTGCTCTTCTCCTCTCACAGCCCAGGACACAACCCAGCCACTCCTGCAAGGCACAAGGCACGGAGACAACACTGGAGCCAGCCCTGGAATGCAGGTACCCACCACGGGCTATGCTAAAACTTCAACAAAGTTTTAACTTTTTTCAACAAACTTATTCTGCTGCAGCAGAGCGCCCCGGGCCCCCAGAGCAGCAGGAGCTCGGGGTGTACCCGACCCCGGGTGTGGCAGAAGCTGGGCTTGTCTCTCCAGTCCTGCTCCAACAAAACCAGTGTCCAGCTCCACTGTGGTTCAGGATTAAGGAACACACTCTCAGGAACCAGCAGTCCCTTTTCTCTCTGGGCTGTATTAAATTCTGTGAGGAATGTGAGAGCAGCACCAGGAACTTCAAACCCTGCTGCTCAAGAGCACCGGGCTCTGCTCTGCTCAGGAAGAATCCAAATTCTCCTCAAGGAGCCATCCCTGGAAGCAGCAGGAGAGGCCACCTGGAAGAGCTCAGGGACAGGCTGGTCAGGGCTTGGAGCAGCCTGGTGTCGTGCAGGGCTCCTTGCTGAGCACTGCCCAGAGCTGTAGGACAACCGGGTATCCCAAATCCCCTTCCCAAAGTCGGTCTGCCCTTGGCTGGCTTCAGCCTCCACCAGTCTGGGGGATGTCAGCATGCCAGGGAGCCTCGTCCTTCCTCAGAGCACAGAGCAGATCTGTGCAGAGGGGCACCAGAGCCAGCCTGGGGCGCCCAGCCAGCCACAGCCAGCAATCACACAATCATTCAGGTTGGAAAACACCTCCAGGACCAGAAGATTACACGGAAAAAAACCGAAAGAAATACTAATGTGGTTTCCAGGGACCTAGAGGTGGAGAAAGATGGAGAAATCTTCAGGATCCACTAACAGGAGACCACACCTGGGCCAGCTCATGTTCTGCTTGGGTGGAAAGGATTCACCTCCCTCCTGGAAAGCCTTACTCCAAAACCAAGAAAAATCTGTTTTACGCCGAGGGAACAGCAGAGCCAAGTTGTCAGACACAGCCAGGCCGAAGTCCCAGGCAGCACAGGGGTCTGGTGGCCCCACTCTGTCTGTCCCGGGCTGTCTGTACCAGCTGTCAGCATGGATGCAGCCTCTGCCTCCTGCCAGGGCAGGAGCTCTCTGGGAAACCTGCGGGCACAGAGCTACTGACACCTCTCCATCAGCACACAGGCAGCAGGAGCCAAACCTCCCACCTCAGCCCCGCTGCTTCCTACACCGTGTCCACCTCACTCCTGCTCTGCAGCAGCCACTCTCACCTCCAGGACGGCAAAGGAGGAAAAGGGGAAAGCGAGGAGGAAACAATCATCGTGTTTGTGATCAGCCAGCTCCAGAAGCCACTGGACCCAGAGAGATCAGAGCTCCCCCTACAACAACGGGTGAGGCTGGGAAGCAAATCAAGCAGGTTGGATGATTTTTGGCAGAGAGAGAACAGTAGGAGTGGTACAGACCTCTTCCTCCTCAATGCGAGCAGGTTCAATCAGCAGATTATTGGCTTGATCAAACGACACCCCCTGTTAGGACAGGAACCAGCAAAGAGGCATGCGGATTAGTGGAGCATCAACCAAACCCACCACCACGACCACCACGACCACCACGACCACCACGACCACCACCCAACACACACCAGAACAGCACAGCACAGCATGCGGGGCTGGGCTGCTCCCGAGGCACTGCTGAGCTCCAGAGCTGAGCTCCAGGGATCCAGAGCT